GTGCCATGGCCACGGGTCAACCTCGTGTGGGTGCCATGGCCACGGCCAGCCTCGTGCGGGTGCCATGGCCACGGCCAGCCTTGTGCGGGTGCCGTGGCTGCGGGTCAACCTCGTGTGGGTGCCATGGCTGCGGGTCAACCTCGTGCGGGTGCCGTGGCCATGGGTCAGCCTTGTGCGGGTGCCATGGCCGCGGGTCAACCTCGTGCGGGTGCCGTGGCCACGGCCAGCCTCGTGCAGGTGCCATGGCCGCGGGTCAGCCTCGTGCAGGTGCCGTGGCCACGGCCAGGCTTGTGCGGGTGCTGTGCTTGCTGCACAGCTGCTGCCCTTCCTCGCACCGCTGCCTCTCGGCCTGCTCACTCATGCTCACAGGGGTCTGCTAGTTGGAAAGAAGAAAAAGCCCTTTCTCTAACCCTCCTTGGCTGCATTAGCTTCTATGTCATAAACTGAATTTCTAACTAAGGGATTAGCTACTCCATTTTGTTTTAATCCTCATTTCTTGGCTGAAGGCCCTGTTTGTTTTTGTTGTTGAAATTCCGTGTTAGAAGGCTGTCTGTCTCTATGAAGGCTGCACTGGGGGCTGGCAGTCTCTGGGCGCTGTGATCTCAGCTCAGCTGACTCACCCCGCTTGGTTTGAGTGTCTGTGTCCCAGGGCTGGGGACAGGAACCAGCCCTGAGTTACACGCTCCGGAGCAGTGCCATTTGTCCTGGGTTTAACCCTCTAGGCTGCTGCGCTTGGCTCTCTCAAGTATCTAATTTTTGTGTCTTTTTTTCCCCCCCCTTTTTAAAAATTGATTACATTTCATTTTGTGACACAGTTTCATAGGCTCTGAGATTCCCCCAACTCCTCCCTGTGCCTCCCCCCATGGTGGATTCCTCCACCTTGGTGCAGTATTACAGTTCAAATTCAGTCAAGATTCTTTCATTGCAGCATATACCAAGCATAGAGTCCAGCATCTTATTGTCCAGATACATTCAACGGTTTCTTGGGGAAACCATCTCTGGTCTGAAGGCTGAGCTGACAGGATATCATCCCGATCAATTAAAAATCCCAGCATAACATCAACAACAATTTACTTCATTATGGAGTTAATTGACATGGTATTGAGTAACCAACATGTTAAAAAATTCAGGTTCTTAACCACATCCTGTGACTATTTCATTGACATTTCAATTTTAGTTTATATACAACCAGCTTCTTTACACCTTAAAATGGCTGTAGGGTATTATTCAGCTGCCTCGTGTCTATTTTTATTTTAGTATTTAGCAGTTTATAGTGTTGAGGCATAATTTTTACTGAACTTGGCAGATTTTAGGGTAGTCTAAACTGGCTTATAACTCTAACAAGGCATATGTTAACAGTTGAGGTGCAGAACAGTTTTAGGAGGGGTGTGCAGAGAAATCTTCAATACCTTAGTGAGGAGTAACTAATCTTTGTGTCCTACCTAGTAAGGTATGTGTGAGTCCACGCTGACTGTTTTCTGTCTGGTTCTAAGCTTTCCTTGTTGTTCTTTGTCTATCCTAATTTTTTTTTTAAGGGGTGGGGATCTGGAGTGACCCTGATGGTCATTGCAGGAGAGGGTGGGGATCCAAAGTTGGAACTAAGTAAGGACCAGAGAAAGCTCCTCTCCTGAGTCCCAGAGGGAGTTTACTGTTCTTCTGTTTCTGAGGACCGCTCAGGGCTCCTGGCTGTTGTTCCAATGACCTTGGATCCTACAAGGCAGGATTTGGGCTTCTTCCATCCCATGTGGTAGATCCTAACGGGGCTGGGTGACCTCGGAGTTCTCGGCCTCAGAAGACACTCCAATTCCCGTGGTCTCCTTGGCAGTTGGGATGTAGTCCTTGGTGCCGGTCCTGATAGTCCTTGGGGAGGATTCGGGAGTCTCCAGGATTGGGATACGAGCCTCCTCCTGTCCCCCTGCTCCACTCTGGATTTCCCCTTTTCTTGCGTGGTTGGTTGCCACCACCAGGGCTGGGCCAGACCAAAGCTGAGTGTGCAACTCCGTTTGGGGCTCCCTTGTGGGTGGTGGGACTCGAATAGATGAGCTGTCTTCACTGCCGTCCCAGGAAGCTGGCTGCAAGCGGAGTAGCCCGGACTTGAAGCAGCTCTCTAGTATGGGGGAGTTGGCACGGCGAGTGTTGGCTTAACCGACTGCGTCACACACCAGCCCAGTACTGGGAAGCTTGATGAGTGCATCTGTGAGCAGCAGTTTTCCGTCTATGGACATCGCCTTTCTCTGCATCTTAAGAAACAAGGTGCACGCTTGTGCCGGACAGGTACGTCCATGTGTGGGTGGCCGGGCTGAGCTCCACAGGGGCTCTGTCTCAGCCGTGAGGTGCCGGCTCCCCCACCCTACTGCAGCTGGTGAATCCGCGAGCCAGGAGTGGCGCTGTGCGGCCCGCAGGAAGGCAGCCTGGGTCTGGAAGGGCAGTGGGCATGGGTCCCAGTGGCTGTTGTCAGAGGTGGTGCCCTGCAGGGGGAAAGCCAGAAGGGAGTCGGAGGCTCCTGTTGTTAGACAGGGCCATGCTCATCATCACTCCAGACTGTGAGCCGAGCCTGGCTTTGGCCCTTAAGGACACTGGCTGTCCTGGTGGTGGTTCTGCTGGGAACACCCTGGCGAGTTTCTTCAGGTCTGCCTGCATGTGGTCGTGTGCGCACTACACATGCACACATTTCCAGTGACTGCTGCACTGTCCTCCACTTAAAAAGTGTCTTTCAGGATTTTTTTCAAATCCATAGAACATTCTTTCAGCTCCTTAATACTCTGTTTTGTGGATGTAGCGTTTATTTCATCAGTTCCCTACTTGGGAACATTGATCTCTATTCCGGTTAGGAATGTGTTTCCAGCTCAGAGATTCCCTCCTTGAGTGGTCCTGTGCTGTGCCTGCCCCTCCTGGCCCAGGGTCCCCAGCAGTGGGGTTCGGGGTGTGGCAGGGCTGGGGTCCTCCAGGTGGGGTTGTTGGAGGAGGTAGGGGTGATAGGAAGGGAAGAGGGTTAGGAGCGAGGCCTGTGGCCCACACTGCAGGCCAGAGCGGTGTGCTGCTCTGCGCCTGACCCACAGCTAGGCGAGGCAGCCGTGTGTGGGGGGGGCGAGTCACAGTTGCACATTTAGTGTGAAAAGAGAGAGTGCTAAATGTAAAAGAAAGGATATTTAGTTCTTAAAATACTACTTATAACTTAAATGGCATTTTGGATATTAAAAATAACTTTTAAAAATAAATAGTAGCTGTTTTTCTTAATTGGAAAGGTGGATAAACAGAGAGGAGAGACGGAGAGAAAGATCTTCTGTCCACTGGAGAGGTTCGCTCTCCAAGTGGCCTCAACGCCGAAGCTGAGCCGAAGCCAGGAGCCTCTTGCGGGTCTCCCATGTGGGTGCAGGGTCCCAAACAGGCCGTCCTCCACTGCCTTCCCAGGCCACAAGCAGGGAGCTAGACGGGAAGCGGAGCTGCCGGGATTAGAACCGGCACCCATATGGGATCTCAGTGAATGCAAGGGGAAGATTAGCCACTAGGCTATTGCGCTGTGCCCAAAAATAACTTTTTAAAGTATGGCTACCAGAGAAGTTAAAATTGCTGTTTGTGTCTCACTTCTGAGGCTTGGTTTGGCTGGTGCTGGTCAGTGCCCCTGCCTGGCCGTGGGGAGGGGCATGGGGTTCATGCTTGGCAGAGCTTTCTCAGTCATCATGGCGTCCCCTCCGTCAGGTTCATCCTGGGGAGGTGGGTGTTTCAGCGTGCCTGGGCCCGGCCCTGTCTGGGCGTCTTGTGTCACACCTGGGTCCTGCTGGGCGGGGCGGGGCCAGGTGGGATGCCAGCAGCTTGTTTAGCCTCCGCGCAGTGACTGCCAGGAGTTCTGCTGCAGTTGTCACAGGGGACACTGTCTGCAGACTTGGCCAGGTGTCTCCTGGGGACAGGGCCCTAGTGCAGGCCGCTTGCTCAGCCCAGATCCTGTTGGTGGAACTCTGGGACCCAGACTCCAAGAGGGCTCGGAGTGGTCCGGCGTTCTGTGGTTCTGAGGCGGAAACCTTGCCGGCCCCGCCTTCTGTGGCCTTCCATGCTGCCACTCAGTCTGTCCCTCTGGACCCCTTGTCTGTGTGAGGCTTGTGGGACCTTGTGGACAGACGCTTGTTTGATGGGCCAGACAGGAAATACTTCTGCTCTTTGCAGGCTGCATCAGGTCTGTCAGCTAATCTTCCCTTCCCTCCTGCCTCTCCTCGCCTCCCCTCCTCTCCCCTCCCCCTCCTCTCCCCTCCCCTTCTCTTCTCCCCCTTCACTCTCCTTCTTCCCCCTTCTGCTGTTTTTTATTTTCATAACCTCCTGTGTGTGTAACACATATTCTTGGCCTGCAGGCTGGGTGTGGCCGCAGGAGCTGGCCAGTCTCTTCCATGGGGTGATGGGGTGAGCTCCGGGGCCACAGCCCCCATAGGCGTGGTGCGCAGGGACTGTGCCGGCTAACTGCAGGCTGGGCGGCAGCACTGGGCTGTGCTTCCTGCCTGCGGAGCTCTGTCCCCTGGCCAGCGTGATGGTAGCCCAGGCCGATCATCAGCCCCTTTTCCTTCTGGGGTATCTAGCCCTGGGCAGGCCCATCCAGATGTACCTGTGTCAGAGCTCGTTGTGGCTTGAGCCCATGCCTGTGGCAGCCTCTTTGGACCCACTCAGCTCCCTGGGCCCTGTGCTTGTCCTTCAAAGCATCAGTAATTCTCTTGGCTTTGCGTTTTGTGAATGTTTGATAAACACATGGAGGTTCTGGTTACTAATTAAAACAGCTGAACCAGCCCTCTAAGCACTCATGCTCAGGAGGTGAGGTCCTTGCAAGGTGTGGACCAGCTTGTCCATGCGCTCTACAACTGCACGTGGATCTGCCGTACCGGCCGTCCTCCGGCGTGACTGTCAGGACCGGTGGCTCTCGGAGAGAAATGGAAAACTAGATACTGAGTCTCGGTCTCAAGCAAAATAATTTCAAAAATTTCTTTTAAATAACTTGTTTTATTATTTTTTAATTTCAGAAGGGATTTACCCCAGCAGCCCCAGTTCATGCCAATAAAGAAGACCCAGCTGCCCAGACGAACCTGGGATTCATCCATGCGTTTGTGGCAGCCATATCCGTTATCATCGTCTCTGAGCTGGGTGACAAGACCTTCTTCATAGCGGCCATCATGGCCATGCGCTATAACCGACTGACAGTGATGGCCGGCGCGATGCTGGCCCTGGGCCTCATGACCTGCCTGTCGGGTAAGTGTGCTGGTCCCACTGCTGCACCTGCTGAGTTGAGGACACAGTGTGGCGGGGTGCACTGTGTGGCGGAAGCCTTCCTTTAGGTGGGCTGGGGTTTGTTTGCTTCTAGTAAACAGTGGCTTTAATGTATCCTTTCTAAAAACCAGATGATACTTTAAAAAAAGTTTTGTCTATTTGAAAGACAGAGTGACAGAAAGATGGGAAGAAAGAGGAGGTCTTGCATTTACTCACTCATTACCTCATTCCCCAGAAGGCTGCAGCGGGCCCCGCCTGGGCAGGCTGCACCAGGAGCCAGCAGCTCTGCTCCTGGGGGGCCTGTCAGCGGGGAGCTGGGTCAGCACGGAGCAGCTGGGCCTGAACTGGTGCTCCTCGTGGGCACCAGCGGTGCTGTGACCCGCCTGGGCACGCCAGTCCCCAAGTTGCCCTTGTAAAATGACATTTGCAGCAATACATATTTTTATTTGCTTTCTGTTTGTTTATTTTTAAGAATTTCTGATTTTTATTTTGTGAGAGACCAGTTTCTTTTCTCTTTAAAAGGCAGAGAGAGAGAGAAAGCTTTCATCCGCTGGCCCTCAGTGGACAGGGCCATGCAGGCTGGGGCCAGGAACCCGTCCAGCTCTCCCATGCAGGGGTCAGGGACCCACCTGCTGAGTCCTACTGGCTTCACCCCGACAGGAAGCTGGAGCCAGAGCCTCACAGAGGCCCTGCTGTTTGTCCGTTTCTGTTATTCTCTTTTTAATCCAAACAAGCTTATGTATATTTGCTATGTTAGAAATAGGACCAAGTTTTGCGCACGTGTGTTCCTGTTGGAGGGCATTTGGAGCCAGCCAGTACTGAGAAGCAGGCTGCAGGCTGCTGTGTGTTGGAAAGCTCTTCCTCCCCGTTGAGGGAAGGCATGGGACTCCCCAAGTGTCTGGTTGTGTTTGTAGCACCTCAGTGTCACCTGGCATCACTGAGCCTGTGGCCGCAGCTGGCTCCGTCCCCAGCAGGTGGTGAGCGTGGGGCCCTGCCCCTGTGCTCGGCCCTGCCGTGCCCGTGGTGTGCTGGAGCGTGGGGCCCTGCCGTGCCCGCGGTGTGCTGGAGCATGGGGCCCTGCCGTGCCCGCGGTGTGCTGGAGCGTGGGGCCCTGCCGTGCCCGTGGTGTGCTGGAGCATGGGGCCCTGCCGTGCCCGCAGTGTGCTGGAGTGTGGGGCCCTGCCCCTGTGCTCAGCCCTGCTGTGCCCACGGTGTGCTGCAGCGTGGGGCCGTGCTGTGCCCATGGTGTGCTGGAGTGTGGGGCCGTGCCGTGCCCGTGGTGTGCTGGAGCGTGGGGCCCTGCCGTGCCTGTGGTGTGCTGCAGCGTGGGGCCCTGCCGTGCCTGTGGTGTGCTGCAGCGTGGGGCCCTGCCGTGCCCGCGGTGTGCTGGAGTGTGGGGCCGTGCCGTGCCTGTGGTGTGCTGGAGTGTGGGGCCGTGCCGTGCTCGTGGTGTGCTGGAGTGTGGGGCCGTGCCGTGCCTGTGGTGTGCTGCAGCGTGGGGCCCTGCCGTGCCCGCGGTGTGCTGGAGCGTGGGGCCCTGCTCCTGCACTCTGCCCTGCCATGCTGCCCCTAAGCTCAGCTTCCCGGTGGGCAGATGGTGTGTCTCAGGCTTCTGCTCTGTGGGGAGCTGAATAAATACAGCGCTCCCCTGTTCACTTCCCTTCTCAGCCTGCTTTTATTGTCGTCATCAAAGTCATTTTTTAAAAAAAAGATATAATTATTCCTTGGAAAACCCAGAATTAGAGAGTGGGAGAGACAAGGAAGATTTGGTGCACTGGTTCACTTCCCAAATGCCCACAGTGGCCAGGGCAGGGCCAGGAGTCTCCCGTGTAGTGGCAGTCCCCAGTACCCGAACCATCCCTGCTCCCAGTGTGTGCGTGAGCAGGGAGCTGTGCTGGCTGGGAGCCGGGTCAGCTAGGAGCTGGATTAGCTGGGAGCTGGATTAGGGAACTGGGTTATCCTAGAGCTGGGTTAGTGGGGAACCAGGTTAATTGGGAGCTGGGTTAGCCTGGAGCCAGTTAGCTGGGAACAGGGTTAGCAGGGAGCTGGGTGGAGAGCAGGGCTCTGGCTGGTTCCCAGGTACCCAGCTGGTGGTCAGTGTCACACACAGCCGTCTGCTACGGGATGGCCAGCTGGCAGCCAGTGCTGTGAACAGCCCAGCAGCTGTCGGCTACACCGAGATGCTGGTCCATGTTGGCAGCTTTTCAGACACATTTGAGTATTCTGATGGCTTAAATAATTTGAATCATTTTTCACATTTTAAATAGGTGTGAGCACTATTCGTGTTTTGCATTGAATGGCATGATTTTCTTTTCAGAGACACATGTTGATTATTGAAAATAGGAACAGTAGGGACCCAGAGCAGGATGAGCAGTGGAGATGAGCAGGAAGCAGTGCCCGAGCTCCCGCGCGCCCATGTGCCCGACTCCCAGCCGCCAGGAGCCCTCAGGCTGCCCGCACCCCTGCCGCACACCTCCTCTTACTTGGCTCTGCCTGGCTTCCCCTTGGCCCCGAGTGTACGTGCAGGCGCTCTCGCCCTCAAGTCACCAGTGCTTCTCAGACTGGAGGGCTCACCTAGACCCTGTGTCTGGTGGAGACTGTAAGATAAAACTGCTTGTTAAAAGAGATCCACGGGGACCCAGATCCCGTCAGAGAGTGACCCCGCCGTCACACAGCGCACGGAAGCTCGCCCTGCTGGCATCGCGTCCTCATCATCATGCCTCGCCTCACAGGGTCTGACCCGCGTGTTCTGACGTGTTACTTACAAGCTTCCACGAGCATTCTTTTTTTTTTTTTCTGTAATCACGATACATATAATTGAGTTTTTGTAGGTTTTTAAGTTTTCAAGTTTTTAAATTGAAAATTACTTTTATGTTTCTAAATCCTAAGAATGGATTATGACAGTTATTATTAATACCCAGATCCAAGCATTTTATGCGAGTGGAAACCTGTTGCACAGTGAGTGCTGGTTGTTGCTGTGAGTGTCATTGCTGGCGTGAGGCGAAGGTGTGACATCACCAGTGGCCTTTCATGTCACACGGGGAGGGGTCTGCTTTAGTGATGTCACCGAGTTACAGACGGAAACCATATCCCATCACCAGGAGTGGCCTTTTATGACCTAACAAGTAACAGCTCAGCAAGCTCCCCGTGCGCTGAGAGAAGACTTTTGTGCATTTCGACTGATGCAATCATGATTCCTTATGAAGGACTGTATTACTGTAAAAGTGTGGGGAAAATCAGTCGAGGGGTGGGATCTTTTTTGGGGGGAAATCCCAGTCTCTACAAAATTGTCCCATAAAATTCAAAAATTTAAAATGAAAAAAAAAGATGATTGTGCAATTCAGCAGATGCTCCTTCCTGTGCTCTTTCACAAGTGGCCGTGGTTAGAAATCGTGGGGGCCGTGGAGATGCTCATTTCAGCAGGCCTCTGCCAGCCAGCGCCTGGGTGCTGACTGGCTGGGACTGGCTTCCAGGCCAGCAGCTGGGGCAGGGACCAAGGAGGCCGTGAGTCCCATGGGCGGAGGGGAAGGGAGAGGACGGGTGTGTCGGGAATGCCACATGCCGTTAGGTGATCTGCAGACAGAGGGAAAATTAAGGAGACGTTTTCAAGTTTAGGATCTGTTTATTTGGAAGGAAGAGTTATTCCTCTTCTGTCCCCTGGCTTGCTCTCCAGACGGCCACACAGCCTGGAGCAGGTGCAACTGGGAGCCAGGAACGCCACCTGGGCCTTCCGCAGGAGCGATGAGGGCCCCCCTGGTCCAGCCCCACTGTCTTCCGAGCAGCAGGAGGCTGCGTTGGAAGGGCAGCAGCTGGGGCCTGGTGAGGACTTGGACACGGTGCCCGGGGCCTGGTGAGGACTCGGACACGGTGCCGGGGCCTGGTGAGGACTCGGACACGGTGCCCGGGGCCTGGTGAGGACTCGGGCACGGGTGCCGGGGCCTGGTGAGGCCTTGGACACGGTGCCGGCCTCAGCGGCTCCTCTGCGCCTTAAGTGTTTTGGGACATGAACTTTGTTGCGGAATCATTCCCGGCCCTCCGCCACCTCTTCCTCGATTGCTGTTCAGTTAGATGGAGGTCACATGTCCCGGACCGAAAGCCCTGTTGCTGGTTGTGTCCTGCGTGGCCACGTGCCTGGTGTGCCCTCTGGCTGCTGCTCTCCCCGGGCCAGGCCAGACCTCCTGTGTTGGCAGTCTTGGGCTTCCCCTCAGTTGAGTTAGCCTGTGGGGCATACCTTAGGCCTCCTCATGAATCTGTTGTGATCTTATTACCCTCGTTTGGATGCTGTGTAATAGTAACTTAAAAACAGTTATTTATTTGAAAGTTACAGAGACAGAGAGAAATGTTGCATTTACTGAGTTCACTCCTCAAATGCCCACAACTGCCAGGACTGGGCCAGACCAGAATAAGGAGCCACATGAATGCCAGGGGCCTGCATTTTGGCCGTCTTCTGCTGCTTCCCCGGCGGCCGCAAGGAGCCATGGGAAGTGGAGTAGCGGGGACACAGCTGCTGAGCCTGCACGCTTGGCACGCCCCACCCCGCGCTGGCTGCAGCACTGATTCCCACGGTCAGTGTGTGATGCCAGTGCTGCTTCTGCCTTACCGCTGGGCTCTGGAGTTACGGCAGCCGGAGCCCTCCTGCCCGCCTCCTGTGTCTGTTTATACCTGCAGTTGGTAGACTAGGAGTCCTTGTTTCTGTGGTTTGTAATTATGTAACTTTGTTGAAAGAGTTGTCCAGGCCTCAGTGGCCAGAAGCTGAGGCTGAGAACCTGAGAGCCTTGCCACTGTCCTTCGGACACACTCCCATCACCTGGTTGCCCCATGGCCTGGATGCTCCAATGCCTTGGTTGCCCCCACGGCTTGGCTGCCCCCACGGCTTGGTTGCCCCCACAGCTTGGTTGCCCCCACAGCTTGGTTTTGCTCATCATTGTCATTTTCAGGACTACAGGATACTGAGGCAGGCTCCTTCCGTACTGACTCCCCGG